AATTTGTAATTTTTAAGTAAAGAAATATTTTAGAAACTCAATATTCCCATCCCTGTTTGCGTCTCGTTCATTTGTAGTGGGGGAAAATTTGTTGCAATTAGAGTTAATGTTTGGAGAATTTTAATCCGTGTATGTGAAAAAGCAGCGAAGCGGTAAGATATACTACAAAACTAATGTTCAATTTCGGTAAAATTTGTTGAAATTTCTGTTAAAAAAAAGGATATAAAAAATTGGACCCTACTTGAATTGATCCAGCAGTGGTAATATTTTTCAGTATTTCTTTCAGTAATACCCTCTATAATTCTATGGCACTGTGTATGCAAAGAAATTATAATTAATTCTTTCACTGCAATAATACAAATACAAACAATCGTAAATAATTAAAAGGAGTCAGAATGGTCAAAATAAAATTTCAGTGTCATTGCCCGTAGTATTTACTCAATGCTGGATAATCATGATGATGTTGATGAATAGTGTAACAAAGATAATGTTGACGATGATGAAGTTCAAGGTATGTTTTTTTTTTTTGTATACATTCATGTTTTTGAAGTGACTGACATTGGTTCCGGTATTTGCACAAGCACGAATACAAAAAAGATGATACCAACAGATAACAAATTGTTAAAATAAACTTTTACACTTGAAATATACGAGTATTTATCTAAAATTATATGTATGTACGTATGTATGTATGTATTTTGTAATTGAAACATTTTAAATGTTATGTAATGAGTAAATTATAACAAAGAGTAAATTAGCTAAGAATTTATACAAATTTAAAAGAACCATACCTACATACATACATATATAACACACTAAAATAGCGCATCAAAAATTATTTAACAAAACTCTAAAGTTGACTGAATATCCTTTAATAAAGTTCCAATTGAGATCTGTATTGAATAGGTTGGTTTAATACAAATTTTAATACCCGCAATTCAAGAAATTCGAAAAAGGTAAAAAATACTTCCACTCAAGTTGAAGGATATATTATGTACAAACAAATGTATGTATGGATGTACATATGTAAACGAGGAAACACATGGTGTTAATACCCGAAGGAACATTCCACATATACTTCAGTTTCTAGTATGTATTGTCACAAAAGAGAAACAGGATACAATATTAAGAGCTAAACCATATTCAAGAGTCATTCTCATTGACAATATTTATGCTGCACGCAACATATAAGAGTAAAACAGCAGTGAAATGAACATTTAACGTGTACTCGTGTCTTGGCACATGGCCAAAATTGTATTGTTCATTTTGTTTTGCTATTAACGTTTTTTTCTTTTTGGTTATTTTCTTTTAGCCATCAGCTGTAATTCTATACGGCTAGACGAAAAGAACTATGACACTGTATGCAGTAAAAAAGCAGAAAAATGGAAACAAATATGTTTCGTACGTATGTACATATGTATAATATGCATATTAACATAGCATAAAAGCATAAACGAATATTTCGTCCTTTTTTCCTTGCTGCAGCAGAAATAGAAATAATTTACATATGTTAGTGTATGCATTTATTCGGATATTTCTTGTAATCTATCTACCTATCAATCTATCTATCTATCTATCTATCTATCTATCTATCTATCTATTAGGGATGCCAATCGGGACTGGTTTTTAGAAATCCCGGGATTCGGGATTTTCGGGATTTCTAAATCCCGAAAAATATAAAAAAAATTAAAAAAATCTTAATAATTTACCGACAAAAATAAAATGTTTTATTTCATATTGCAATATGAATACTCTTAGTAGGTGTTTAGTTTCCAATAAGCATTTTGTGAAAAGAAAAACAAATTAATTCAAAGTACATACTTAGAATAAAAATCTTTCCATCCCAGGCACTGAATAGTAGAAAAAAAACCTGAAATAATACCCATGATATCCAAATTTACAATGGTTTCCATATAATATTTAAATAGTATGTGTAATGGGGATCCATACGAGGCTACATAGAGCAACTGTACTGCACCTATATCTCCTCCACCTTATATCCCGTGTTCACTAACCAAGGGAATTATCTTCTCGCCATCTTATTGACAGGTTGACTTCCATTATAGATATCCGATAGTATCAATGCCTATTTATTACCCTTTTTATACCCTTAGTAAGGATGGTATATTGGGTTTCTCCGGAGTAGTGCTTTTGTTTTATACTGTCCTAAAATACGCTGATGAAATTTGAAATGATCGGGCTTTTGATCCGAGCCCCCATACAAAACACAGCTTTAAAAAATAATTAGTGTCCACAATTCGCTTAAAAAGAGAACTGTCGCAATGAAATTCAGCATAAAACATTTTATGTAACCTTAAATTCGCCCTCCAAATTTTATGAGGATCGACTCATATGATGGCGTCCTTCCCCAAGCATATTTCAGAAAAATAGTTTTTTAACAATAAAGTGCTAGAATATATCGGAGGCGAGGTATACTTTTATAATGAAAACTAAATTACATTTTACTCTCATAACTGGGGTTATATGGTCGGCCTCGCCCGCCTATAATTTCGTACTTGTTATTTTTATATATCCGATACTGGCTTAAAAATACGAGTATAGCGATGAAATTCGATACACATATGTTTCATGCGAGTCAAAATCTCTCTACCAAGTTTTATGTGTTTCGGTCCATAATTGACCCTACCCCTACATAAGGTCCCACCCAGATAAATACTTTAACGCTCATTACTGGCTTACAAGTACGAGTGTAGAGATGAAATTTGAGATAAGTAAGTTTCTTACTCGCCAAAAGCCAAGAAACTTTTATAGCCGAATATAGCACTCTTACTTTTTTTTTGATATTTCAGCTTGTAAGTTAGTAGAGTCATCTTAAGTCCAAAAACTTTGTAAATTCTCTTATTTAGTACTTTATAATGTATAAAATAGCGGAAAATACTGAAAAATTCGGATTTTAAAATCCCGAAATGTCCGGGATTTCATTTTTTAAAATCCGTGTTTCGGTACTTTCCCCAATCCCGAAAATACCGGGATTTCGGGAAGTCGGGAATTCCCGTTTGGCATCCCCACTATCTATTAGAGAGTCTAGCTATTAGTGAGCGAGCGAGAGCGAGGAGCGATGCTAGCGACGAGCGAGAGAGCTAGCGAGCGAGCGAGCGAGCGAGATAGCGAGCGAGCGAGCGGCGAGGAGCGAGCGAGCGAGCGAGGGAGTGCCGAGGATCTAGCGACAGCGAGCGAGCGAGCGAGCGAGCGATCGTAGCTCTGCTATCTAAAGCGATCGAGCGAGCGATCGAGGAGCGGCTAGCTAGCGAAGAGCGCGCGAGCGAGCGAGCTAGGTATCTTAGCTAGCAGCGAGCTATCTATCTATCTATCTATCTATCTAGCTGTCTATCTATCTATCTATCTAGCTATCTATCTATCTATCTATCTATCTATCTATCTATCTATCTATCTATCTATCTATCTATCTATCTATTTATTTATCTATCTATCTATCTATCTATCTATCTATCTATCTATCTATCTATCTATCTATCTATCTATCTACCTATCTATCTATCTATCTATCTATCTATCTATCTATCTATCTATCTATCTATCTATCTATCTATCTATCTACCTATCTATCTATCTATCTATCTATCTATCTATCTATCTATCTATCTATCTATCTATCTACCTATCTATCTATCTATCTATCTATCTATCTATCTATCTATCTATCTATCTATCTATCTATTCATCTATATATCTGTGCATTTCCTTTTCGAATCGAATCGAATAACCGATTCAATTGAAATATTAGAAACTCAAAATGTTTTTGAAATATTTGTATGTATTTATATTTATGTATTATGCAGACGGACTGTACTGAAGTTCTCAATTAACTCTGGGTAATGACAAAAATTTTCTTGTCGTGCTTTCTTTTTGGGTAATACTTTATTTGTTTTTGTGTTCCTACCATAAATTAGTTTCCCATTACATCCATACATATATATTTCACATGTTTTACCTTCATGTTGCAATTGTGTGTTTAATTTTGCTTCAGCTCCAACAAGGGTATTAAAAGGATACAAGTCTGTCTGCATGTACAATTTTTAGGCACAAAATGCACAAACTTACATATACACCTATGTATGCGCTCACATATTTCAATTAACTGAAGTTAAAAAGTGTATATTTTAACAAACTATATGTCATCATACATATTAGATTTGTTAGGTTAATTTTAAGTTAAGTAGATAAACATTTTTCTAATGTCTCGTTTTAAAAAAAATGTAAACATACACTAATACACTAAAGAATGTAAAAGGATATATTTAAGGAATCCTTATAAAAGTAGAACTAAACAGATTTATTTAACTAATCTAAAGAAACTAATTCCATTAACTGTAGTACATAGTATTATTTGTACCTTTAATTTTGTTGGGTTTAATGATTAATGTATTGAGTAAAATGCATAAGAAAATTTAATATTCGTTTAAAATATACACATAAATTGTTTCATTCTATCGAAGAAAGGTTTTTAAAGATTGCTAACGGACCATCATTTCAGAAAGCTCTTATTGAGATATCATATCTTTAAGTTTAAAACTACATACATAACAGATTTTATAAATAAATGTGTCTTATCGCTACTGTAACGTCTCAAATATCCCTACTATAGTTATATTTGGTGTAAAAAAGCGTGTTCACAGTTTTATGGGAATACAAATCAAGCCGTTTTACTAGATTTCAATAATTTGATCACATTTCTGGCTCAATTTTTCTATTAAACACAATCAAGTTTCTATGAAGCGCCCAAATTAGCCCGCTTGATACATAAGAAAACATTTAATTGACCTATTATCAGAAGTTTGAAAAATTTGTTTGATTAATTTATTGGTTCTTAAGGCAAACTGAATTTTAAATATTGACTTAAAGGTGTATATTGATATATTGTCGCCCAATTGTCTCACATTTGTTTTCTTTTTTAATACATTTAAATTAACCTCATTAAAGATAAAAAATGTTAATAACAAAATATTTACATAAAACAGTAAAAACTGTAAATAATGGAATTCTGACCAATAAAGGGTTATGGTCTGTCGTAAAGTGCTTTACTTAGAGAATTCAGTTTAAAACGAGCTGTATTGGAATGGCCATTCAATTTTTAATCACTGGACTAGCAAGGATATATTCCCTAAATATACATTTTGTAAGTGAAAATTTAATTTATAAAAGTAATTTTTTCTAATAACCGTTATTTAAAGAGTTCACTGTAATTTTAATACACAAATCTATATGTGTGCAAGTATTTGTATTCGATTCAATAAACTGGCAAAAATATTTTAAAAAATTATTGGCAACGTTTTTCAAATATCGTTAAATTTAAATAAAATTTAACGGATCGATAGTAAGTCATTCATTATTTACAGTTCAATTGAACAGCACACACTGTACGTTCAAGATGTTTTTCTTGCGGAAATTCCAATCGATATCCAATACGATACTCTCTTCATTACTGGTGACAATCATCTGCAGTAATCTGGGTTTAAGTTGTAATGCCAGTGCCACCTCAAACACCATCAGCACCATTTCTTCCACACAATCTAATCAAATGGCACTAAAGACAACACCGAAATTTTTCAAAGAAAACTGTACATGTTCAACACAATGGCAGTGTGAATGTTGTGCCAAAGTCAATAATGACCTACTTAATGTACATCAAACATGTAAGTGTTGCAAATGGTCACATTCAATTGCATTTCAACATTTGAACATTGAAACAATCGAAACATTATTTAATTTTCCTTTTCATTATTTTTCCAATCAGTGTGTGCCGACTGGACTGTGTTTTCTAACTCATGGGACATACAGGCCAATGTACGTTTAAATGAAAATGTTTTATACACTAATACATTTTCCGCCTGGAATGTACCACCATTTTGTGTTCCCATATGGCCGGCAATAGCATTGACCGGATGTGTTCAAATGCATAGTATTACACAACATGAATTCAATACGTTACATGGTTGTGCAAATTTAACCATCAATTTTATAGCATTCAATTTGGTCAACTTCCAAATGGGTTGTATGGATGTCGGTACGGGTGGCATTCAATTTGTTGATCCCAATCATGAAATTGTAAGTTCGACCACAACGGAAAAGCCTCCAGAAATTGAATTGGAAACTAGTGATTTTGTCAAAACCTCCACTCCTGCTATGAGTAGTTTGGAGTTAAATGACAAGGTTACTACAGAGCGTACATCTACGATACGTCAGGATTCATTGAGTTATTTAAAAAGTACGAATTTTTGAATTGTTATGATTAAGCGATATTTTTAGAAAACTACCCACTGCTTTGTTTACTCCATAATTGAAAGTCATTAATAAATTTATCATGCTACTCAAAATAAAGAATTTTTATTTTCATGTAAATGTTTGTTTTAGTTAGTTTTAATATTTAAATAAGAGTTATATTACACAATAATCAAGAAATACTGTAGCAGATTAAGTAAAATCAATCAATAATATATAAAAAATCATATCTACAACAAAAAATAAGACAAACGGAAACATTAAACCAAAACGATAAAAAAAAGCTGAACACAAAACAGAACAAGTTAATTGTAAATTAAAAAGAAAGAAAAATTTAAGAAAATATCAAAATGTAAACCTGTATAAAAATATTTATATATGTGTGTTGCAATAATATCAAATTCTGTAAATAAATTATTTAATATTTTAATGTTATTAGTTGTTTTGTTTCTTATATTTTTAATTATTTTTCCAAAAAATAGAAAGAATTTAAAATGAAAAGTTAAAATGTAGAAGAAGAAATTTAAATATTTAACAAAATATATGTATGTTTGTATATCGCATACAATTTAGAATATAACATTATTATTAGTTTTATTAATATTATTATTATTATATAATTATAATTTAATCGGCTATTGCAGTATAAGGTAGACTGCTGTGTTTAGGTTTTGTTTTATTGATAAACACTTTTATGGCTCCATTAAAATCGGCACTGACCATGACATAACCGCAACCTTTTTTATGTTGTTCTACCAAGGGATCTGGTTGATTATTTGTTTGCTTCAAGAGAAAAAGTAAGAAATATTAATAATGTAGTTCTTATGCAAAAATAAATATATATATTATTTACTTTTTCATGTGAAATTTCATCAGGTTCGGGCTTAATAATGGCCTCAGGATGTGGAGCAAATATTGCACAAGTAACTGTAGCGTTATGGGCTTTAATTCCCTCCCAAAAATCACTTCTATCACGACGTACCTAAAAGTATTGAAAATTAAATTCCACTTACACTTTAATTAGCCAAACACGAGAGACAACTTACCGAACTTAATTTTGAATAATCATGATTTGTTTTCCATATATAAATACATTGATTTTCTGAACCCGCTATAATATATTTGCCATCATGACTGAAAGATGCCTTAATTTGCGATGAAGCATTTAGATAACCTTTATATTTGCAGGACAAATTCAAATCTCTCAAATCGTATAAACGCACACGACTATCGTTAGAT